GATATCCTTCATCGTTTAACGAAAAAGCACAGTGTGATACAATTCGTAAAGCAACATTAATTGACACATTGTGTTACACATCGTAAACAACAAAAATATATTGTGATACACTTCGTATAACAACAAGAACACAGTATCCGGTTGATAAATACAATTGTGATACCACCGTATTACACCCAACGTTATATTTCCGATGATCTCTAGGTTACATCCAAAAACCTTACATCTCCGGCGTTACATCTCCGATGATATTTGTGTTACATCCCTATCGATATCTACATTACATCTCCGGCGGATATGGTTACGTCTCCGATCTAAAACAAGATGTGTGCAAAAACCAGAAACTGAAACTGATTTGGGTGTGTAGAAACCAAATCTGTGCGGATATGAATAACAAAAACTGATCTTGGTTGTTTTTCTCGATTGGATGAAGTCATCGAACTAGTTATGGCATAAGCCAAATCTGTGTGGCTCTCCATCCAGTGTCGCCATTGTTGAGATGGAGATGGTTGAGATCGGCGACGAGAATGGTTGGGATCGAGCGCCGAGAATGGTTGAGATCAGGCGAGGAGAATGGTTGAGATCGACGCAGCATGTGGAGCTTTTGGAAGTGGGTACTAAGGGAGGATGAAGAAACAACGGATCAAATTTATTTGGAGTTTAAAATTCAAAAAAGATTTAACAGTTAGAGTTTTATAAGTTATAAAATTTACTAATTTATCATTTGTTTTATTTTAGTAAGGGAAAATTGCATCAAAATGGAACCAACTTTCACCTAATTCCTATTTTGCGGAACCAACTTTCAAAATCGTCATTTTGGGGAACCAACTTTCACTTGATTTTTATTTTGGGGAACCAACTTTCAAAATCGTCATTTTGGGGAACCAACTTTCACTTGATTTTTATTTTGGGGAACCAACTTTCACCTGATTCCTATTTTGGGGAACCAACTTTCAAAATCGTCATTTTGGGGAACCAACTTTCACCTGATTCCTATTTTGGGGAACCAACTTTCAAAATCGTCATTTTGGGGAACCAACTTGGACCTAATTCTTATTTTGGGGAACCAACTTTCAAAATCGTCATTTTGGGGAATCAACTTGCATCTGATTCCTATTTTGGGAAACCAACTTGCAAAATAGTTATAGAAAAATAACTAAAATTCATTTCTTTTCAAAAATTAATGCAATAAAATCTATTTTTCATTTCAAATCTCGTTTTTTTAAATTCAGATATCAAATTGAAGATTTTTCGAAAAAAATCCAAATTACCACGATAAAAATTGTTTTTTTACTAGTGCAATAAAAAAATCAATTTAATAAAAAAAATTAATTCATGCAATAAAAAATAAATATTAAATATCACATTCAAGATTTTTATATCTAACCAATCTGTATCAATATTAAAGTTTAAAATCAAATTTGGCAAATCCAACCAAAAGTTTGACAGAGACCCTTAAATTATCTGTTACCTGTTCAACAGATCAATCAGACCCTTAAATAAACAAAAAGTTCGATAGAGACCCCTAAATGACGATTTTAAAAGTTGGTTCCCCAAAATAGGAATCGGATGAAAGTTGGTTCCATTTTGGTGTAATTTTCCCATTTTTCTATAATTATTTTGCAAGTTGGTTCCCCAAAATAGGAATTAGGTGCAAGTTGGTTCCCCAAAATGACGATTTTGAAAGTTCGTTCCCCAAAATAGGAATAATGTGAAAGTTGGTTCCATTTTGGTGCAATTTTTCCTTTTAGTAAATAAAATTAATTATCTAAAATGATTAGTTCATATTGGAACTTACAGTTATCATAAACTATCTAGTTCTCATTTGATAGTTCCATTTATAGGGGGTCATTCAAGAGAGAACTGGTTAATTTGTGATAAGTGTGAGATCCAATCTCAACTACAAATCAATAGTTAAATTAGAAAACTAATAATTTCGATATGGACAAATTGCATGAAAAAGTAACGTACTTTAACTTGATTCCTATTTTGGATAATGTACTTTCAAAACCTCTATTTTGGTACCTAAGATGTAAAATTTTAAACATTTAAGTACCCGGATAAACGGTTGAAGCATTGACTAGTTATCATGTTGATGTGTCGATTGATGTGGTATCCAACTCAATATTATTTGCTAACATGGTTAGTGGCATGATTTTTTTTTAAATCTAAAATTACTCTTTTTTTAATCTAAAATTAGTCTTCAATTGGTTACTCGGGTACTTAAATATTTAAAACTTTACATCTTAGGTACCAAAATAGAAGTTTTGAAAGTACGTTACCTAAAATAGGAATTAAGTTAAAGTACGTTACTTTTTTATACAATTTGCCCTTTTGATATTTAACATAAAATTTTAATTAAAGGGCATTTTAGGTATTTTACATTTTTTTATCTCTCATCTCTTAGAAGAACCATATTATGTTAAACACACAATGCACACTGTGATATCTTTCATAATATAACGAAAAAGTATAGTGTAATACAGTTCGTAAAGCAACATTACCTGACATATTGTGTTACACTTCGTAAACAACAAAAATACATTGTGATACACTTCGTATAACAACAAGAACACACTGTGATATACATTGAAAATACCATGGTTGATGAATACAATTGTGATACCACCACATTACATCCAACGTTACATCTCCGATGATATCTAGGTTACATCCAAAAACTTTACATCTCCGGCGTTACATCTCCGATTATTTGTGTTACATCCTTGTCGATATCTACATTACATCTCCGGCAAGATATCGTTACGTCTCCGATCTAAAAATAAGATGTGTGCAAAACCAGAAAACTAAAACTGATCTAGGTGTGCAGAACCAGATTTGTGTGGATATGAATAACCAAAACTGATCTTGGTTGTTTTTCTCGATTGGAAGAAGTCATCAAACTAGTTGAGTTGCGACAGAGGTTATGGCAGAAGCCAGATCTATGCAGCTCTCCATTCAACATCGCCATTGTTGAGATGGAGATGGTTGGGATCGGGCGACGAGAATGGTTGGGATCGGGCGACGAGAATGGTTGAGATCGGCTGCAAGAATGGTTGAGATCAGGCTGGGGATAATGGCTGAGATCGATGGAGCATGTGGAGCTTTTGGAAGTGGATACTAAGGGAGGATGAAGAAACGACGAATCAAATTTATTTGGAGTTTCAAATTCCAAAAAAATTTAATAGTTAGGATTTTATAAGCTGTAAAATTTACTAATTTATCATTTGTTTCATTTTAGTAAATAACATTAATTATAAAAAATGATTGGTTCATATTATACCTTCGAGTTACCATAAATTATCTAGTTGTCTTATATATACATATACATATGAATTCACTGGTTTTATCTGGTACGCTACAAGAATTAGGGGCCGTTTACTAAATACTTATCCGGCAAGTGTGGACCGGGTAACTTTCCGTGCATGCATGCACATGGCAATAGCTAAAACTATTACCCGATAAAAGCGATGACATGGATAAAGAGTCTTACCCGGTAACTGATGGTGAAGACTCTTACCCTGATAAGCGTTTACCGGGTAAATTGTTGCATACGATACCGTTTTAGTATACTGCAATCTTATCTGGTAAAATAGATTATAGTGTTGACTCTTACTGATAAGCGATTACTAGGTAGTGTTGACTCGTACTGATAAGCGCTTACGGGGTAAGTACACTTAGAATAAAAGGATTTCTGTGCAGTGAAATTAACTTCGAAATGTGATTTGTTGCTCTCAGTTAACAAATGGGTATGCATAGTGTTCGACGAAATGTCTGCAAGAACCTTCTGGTCTCGTTTCTTTGGACGTTGCTATATATTGTTCTTCCACTGGCAGTTCCGAGAAGTACAAGAACCTTCTGGTCTTGTACTTATGTGTACAAGATTGTGGTTATCTACTACATATATACGACTGCACATTTATGTTTGTCGTCCTAATAACTACGTTAAACAATTTCCCAGTGGATTTTGGAAGGGGTGAGGTCTCCACTAATTGATTGAAACCAACAAAAGTTTTAGAAAATTGAATCAATTTTCTTGTTGATTGACATGCTACCATTAGAGGTGGCTGCACATGCCTTTATCTTTATAAATGGATGTGTCAACTTGAACTTATGATTCAAGTGTATGAGCAAATTTAAACGTTAACACCAGCATCAGAGCTAGGAAATCGAGCAATATCTTTTCATACAGCACTAATCATAGATAGAGCCTCTTAAAACATTCAGAAACTTTTAAACTCAAAACCATTTGGCAGTTCCTCATTCAATTTTAGCAAAAAACAGCTATATCTTTTTTTGAATTTTAAATTTGCTTTTGGACTTGTCAACTCTAAAACCCAAGTCCACATTGGTATAATGAGCACCCAAAAGAAAAGGGAAAAACCAATGTCCAGGATCAGCGCCGACATCCTATCTATATACCTTTCAAGCAATCTTTGTAGCTTATTCTTCATGGATGTTTATCATTCATCACATTATCATTTCTTTTATTCACTAAAATGCTTTCTTGTATGTATCTGCAAGTGGATATATGATCATTTGTACCATACCAAAAAAAAATATGCTTTAAGATTTGCATTTTGGATGCCGATATGTGTCTTTCTCTATAGACACATATGCACACACTTCTTCTACGCGGAAATATATTCTAAGGATGTCACTGCTGAAGTACTTTCTTCAGCCACTGTCTAGAAGCATATATTCTCTCTTAATGTCCACTGTAACCAGAGGGACAATCCTGGGTCGGGCTTTATCGGATATGTTGTCTTGTTTTGATTCGTAAGAATTCTGTCCTTGATCCACTAAAGTTGCGAACTTTGTTATCCTTTTTTTGGTGGAGCCTTTTTCTGATTTAGCTTTGGCAGTCAGGCCGGTATAACTGGTGTAGCTAAGAGTAGCTGATTCAGATTCATAAGCTGTAAACCTTTTTTATTTTATTTTTCACTTCCCTGAAAATGTTATAAATAGATACTCGAGGGCTTAGAATTTTATTCATTCATTCATCATTAGGTGCTCTCACTGGTTGTTGCAATTCGGGAATTTTCTCACATAGTGCAATAATTAAGAGTTAAAACAATGAGCTACAACAGATCAAACATAGGTTCTGGTTAGTCTCTTCCCACGAACCGATGATCAATGCATTATCTAAGAAACATTAATGTTAAAAGGTCTTCAAGAAATTATATGACTAAGATTTAAGAGTTTGTACACATTCTTGATACATTGTTTCAGGTAGTAGGAATGTCGGAAGGAACAGGTTTGAGTTTGGAAGGACTTGTGTGGTCAGACCCAGAGGAACCCACCAAGCAACTATCGTTTGGTTACATGGCATTGGTGAAATGGGATCAAGGTGACAATGAATGTTTGCTTTGAATTGTGATGATTTCTGGGAAGACAAATTTGATATCAATTGCAGAATAGGAAGTGGGTTGTACTCATTTCGGCCATTTTGACATTTGATATTGAGATTTGACTTCATAGTTTTTGTTGATGATATGTTTTCTTCTATATATGACTGCATATGGATGATTTAGGATCTTGAGGGTTGATATTTCCAAGTAACTCTTGGTAAGTTTCTTCTTTCCACTCTACACAAGGGATCAACCATCAGCAAGATGTCCAAAGCATCCTTCAATGATAATAAATTTGGGAATCTTATTTACCAAAATCATTATATGCATAATCAGTACCGACAGCAGTTGGACAAAGTACAAACAAGTAACTTTAACTCTAAATTTGCCATGCAAATTTCTGGGGATATTACAAAAATGAAATATGTTTGCAATTTTCATGGAATAGAAATAGAAAGAAAGCAAGGCATCATTTGGTTTTCATATTAATATCAATACTCTTTCACTTTATATTAAGAAATCACCAACTTGTTCTGTCGATAAATTCTCCTGTTTCTGAGATATGTGGACAGACTTTATAAGGGAATCTCCGTACTGCCATACACAAATTCTCCTTGGCCTTGTGAGGGTTAGAGATGGAAATCTTTGTTACAATTTTCCTTTCCATAATGGTAAAGAGGTTGTTTCCATGATCTAAACCTGGGATCATGCCTATATATATATACATATATATATATATATATCATCTCATGTAGTATGCATGCTTTCTGATCCATGTTCTTGTTCTCATGCAAAGCCTTCGCAATTAAAATTAGTATGAGTCTCTTAGCGGTATTCTTTCTACTTCTTTTGCAATAGATCTTTATGTTCATTTTCGTTTTACATTTTTCAGTTGGACTCGGTTCTTGGAATCTCTGCCTCTCCCAAATGTAAGGATTAGCATATTTCTCCATTTTCATCAACATTACTTTATTATGTGAATGGTATTTTGAACCCTTTTGATTTACAATTTAGATCAAGTGGATCTGCCCAACTGCACCAACTCGTCCTGTAGCTTTGTTTGGTGGATTACCATGTACTTCATGTAAGTCTTTTTAAGAATACAGAATCATGCTTGTTATTCCTTGTGTACTCGTTTCGTGATCCTATTTAGTTTATACAGAAAGATAGGAAACAAAGATGTGATTGTGGGAAAATATTTCTCATGTTACTCCTTCCATGTCTTCTTTTTTCTCTTTCCACTACCATTTCATTTATATATATGCACCCTTACTTTATTGGCCCCATACCTTTTACACATGTTGAAATTTGATTGGAGAAACACGGAAAAAGGATAATAGGTGATTTTATTGGTGGTTGTGGGTCCTATGACATGAAAAGAATAAAAAGAAACGATACCCACAAAAATAGAATGTGAAGGGAGATGGTATAAAAAACAAAAGCTTAATATTTTTCATCATTCTTTTGATTTACGCCTATGTAAGAATTAACAGAAGGGTAATTGTGATTCTTTCTATGATCATCTATAAAGACATGTCAAACATTATCAGGGTTTAATGTTGAAGACATGTCCGACAATGCTACCGATGATGTGGAGGGATTAGATGCTTCAGCAACACACATTGCAAATATGCTGTCGAATGAACGTGATGATAGTATGTTTCCATGTTACTTACTCATATAAATTAGTATCTATATATGTATATTAGCATCCTATCTTATTTTAAATAGTTAACTGTGAACCTATCTTAGACTAGGATGCAGGGGTATTTGAGAATTTTAGAGCTTGTCTTGGATAAGATGGCAAATTTTTGTCAGTGTTGGATTTTCTTTACATTGTGTGTTTTCATTTACAGTTAAGTTAGGGGTTGCGGGCTTCAGTATGGGGTCTGCTATGGCTCTCTACTGTGCTACATGTCGTGTTCTTGGGCAATACGGAAATGGAAACCGATATCCAATTAACCTTAGCTTGGCTGTGGCTCTCAGCGGCTGGCTCCCATGTTCCAGGTTTGACTTTTGTTCTTTATAGACATGCTATCTAAATATATCCCTAACAGGCTAAGGGGCTGTTTTTTTGTGGCTTAATGGCTTAATGGTATGGAGAGCTTAATGCTCATTTTATGTCATTAAGATAGTTTATTTGACACAAAAAGCAAGTAACAATTTATCTAAATCCATACAAACAACTTAATCCATACAGACTTAATGGGAAAAAACCAACCTGCACCTAGGCATATCACTGTACTGAGCAAACTACTTATTCTAGGATTCTGAGGAGCAGAGTGCAAGCATCACAAGAGGCTGCAAGACGTGCAGCATCACTGCCTATTTTACTCTGCCATGGACAAGGTATTTGCTGAAATATCTTAAATTGACTGCAGGATTCCTATTTCACCATTTGTTTTGCATTTGGTCATTCCCATCTTATATGATTAGCATGCTTCTTGATCCACTTAATTTAACTTTTTGTAATGTTCTGTTGAAAATTACTGTTTAAGCTTAGAAGACATCTTTGTTCAAATAAAGATTCAACAACTGTTCATACAAGTGAATGAAGTTGAACATTTGGTAGAACTGCACTAATTCAAATGCCTATGTACAGCCTTAGAAAATGTAGTCTAATTCTAATCCAAAGTTTCTGCTCTTGGTCCTAGTAGGAAAAGAGATCTAGTCTAGTTATAATTCCAAAATATTCTAGGAAATTCACAAACTAAAATAACTTGTTCAAACAAATAACTGTACCCATGCCATGGTTCCTCTAACATGATACTGACAAATCTTAACCTCACCGACGGTGACAAGTGTGTGTGAGTATATGCGGTATATAAATATTTACTTAAAACCAAAAAAAGTACTTATATGTAACCTGAGATTGATGCACCACTATGACGATAAGAGTTCCTCTTTCAAAGAAACACCAAATACATTAGTAGAGCCACAAAGAACACATCATAATATGGAAAATGCTAGGGGAAGATTGTGCATAAGTGATAACTACATGTATACATACACCTTTACATGAGTTGCATCTTTTAACAAACCAAACCAAGCCAAACCAAATGAACCCAGTAAATCCCACACGATGAATGACCTCTTTTAATCCATTTTTAAGAGGAAGCTTAAAAAAGGCCTCGAAACTAGAAATGTAAATATATAACAGGGTACTAGCTTTTTGATGCATTTCTCATGATGAATAGTGGTATGCAAGTGCTACGGGCTTGTGTTATAACCGCTTATATGGAGGGATGCCTCAAAACGTTTTTATGATATATTTGTTTTTGTATTAATATAAAATCGTTTTTCATAGCATTGAGAATTCCTTGTGGTAATAACTTTTCTAAAATTTAGTCATTTTCTAATTGGTCTAGATTTCCATAATTTTCAAAGTATTTAGTTGTGTCTGCTAACTTGTTTTGCAGTGGAGTAAAGAAAATTAGATCTAGTTGGAGATTGTTGAAGCTTGATATTATTGTTGGGCCCCTCTATCTACCAGCTTCAGCTTCTAGATGTTGGTGACTTGACATGGTATCAGAGCTCTCGGGTTTTGAAAGGTTTCACTTATCTTTGCATTGTGTTAGTGATGCACCTTTGCGTGCCAGAATCGCACGCGAGGGGAAATGTTGAAGCTTGGTAGAATTAGTCGGCCCTCCACTACTAGCTTAACCTCCTCCAAGGTCACATTGGAGGGCGATTGTTGAAGCTTGATAGCATGGTGGGCCTTTTATCTACCAACTTAACCATTTTGATGAATTATAATAAACACATGACGACAGAGACTTGAGGTCTGTATGAAGTTTATAACCCAGTTTTGACATTTTTTATTCAAATATATTTGGACTCTATATCTATTGTCCAAAGGTCATGTAAACTCTTGTCACCCACAAAGTCGTCCAATTGGCGATTCTCTCGACTAAAATTATTGTATGATAATATGTAATGTGGTTATCATTTGCATCAGAAAATGAATGTATTTATTTGAAAGGAATAACCACATTACTTGGTGTATTTGGAATACCATCAAACTTTGAGTTGATGATGTATGAAATTTAAGATTATTTTTCCTCGATGTCATTCAGTTATGTTTTTCTACCCATTGAAAGAATTGGTTTTTGCTTGTATCGGTATAACTTGGTTCGTCAATCTAGGTCTATCCGTTGGTCGAGTTTCGATCTTGATTAGATATGATTTGATCCAATAGATATTTATTTGAGTTGATTCTCTGGTCCAATATATACATATACATGTAAATAATTAAAACCAAAATTTTCTATTCCTAGTTTTTGTTTCTAATATTGAAAATCCATTTTGTTTTCCTACTTTTCTCACTCTTAAAAACCAAATCTCTTCATATATACATCACTACCTCCATCACCTTCATCTTTATCCTCCTCCCCCT